TTTTTTAGTCAAAGCCGGGACAATGAACGTATGATCTGTTTGTACTACACAGACAGGGATCTCCCCAGAAATTCAATGCGGCGGGGGGGAGGTCTGGAGGGGGGGGAAGCTATTGCATTTTGTCTTTTCCAAACACAAATGGAGGTCATTTCCTGCAACTTCAGTTCTACATTTTCTGTACAACTGCAGATGTATAAGGCAGTAGAAAGGTTCAAGATCTGTACTTAATTATCCTCATGTTCAAAAAAATTCTACCCTTAATTTTGAAAAAATTGGGCATAGGTTCCCCGGATGACCCCTAACCGGGGGCCAACGGTGCTTCCACAAGTTCAACAAGTGAAAAATATATGATACAAAATGTACATGTATTTACTACCTGGAACTTGGAGCAATTTATTCCAAAGATGTTAACTGACATTAATATATTAAAAACTAAACCAAATCCTATTTCTCAAACAAATCACATATTGACACAGCTGAACAAATAAAAATGTGATCATGTTTATAAACTCCACTCAAAAACAATTTTTGAGAGACACTCGGGTCACGGTACTAAGCGTGATAATCTCTAATATCTCATCTGATTCTCCCAATATGTAAAGGGTCTTTACAATGACAGCATCCAACCGCACATACATAGAAACAACAATATTACACAAGAAACCAATTAATTCGGAAAATTTCTCAGTAATGTTTGAAAATTAACCTTACTAAAATATAACTGAATTTTTATTTCAGTTGTAGCCGAAAAAATATTTTTCATGCGTTTAAAGTATCGTTTTAGCACTGTAATATGTACTTATTACATGTATCTATACATTTGGATGCTATCTTGACCTTTGACCATTGTTATTGTGAAAATAGGTCGGCCATGTTGTCTTTCTCGCCGTGAATTTTCGAGCCGTTTTTTCGAGCAAATTTCAACCGTTTTAAACATTTTACGGCCTCAAAAAGTCATATAACGAGGAAAACAAGTTGTAGTTGTTATTTTCATGCGTAACATTTCTTCTGGGGATGGATTATTTTTCCGTCAAGCTGCCGAAAACTTAGCGCCATGCCGCAACCATGCGATCGGGCGCGGCCGGCCGGCGGGAGTTTTACTTTGTATCGGTGAGCTTTCGCGATGTAAACAAAGACAGTCGGAGTTGTTTACATGAAAATTTTGTTGTGAAACGCCAGCGGGGTGTCAGATTTTCTACCAATGACAACGTTTTCTTTGTGGCGTCATGGCGAGATCGACAATTCATCGTCAATTGACAGGATTGTGCCGACAAATTATGGAATTGAATAGCGGCCCGATCCGTGCAATTAGCGCTCGATCCACGCCGCCCGACCGAAGAAAATTGGAATGACGAGCACATTTATCGGGGATAAAATCCCCAATTTTGAAAACCGACCGCTAGCCGCTCGAAATTTTTGGTCGGCCCAAAAAAGGCTAGGGTCGGGGGGTTTTTCATAGGGTCGGTCGGGTAACCGGAAACACAACATTTTTTTTCCTAGGCCCAAGTAGAAGTACACAGGGAGTCTATATACATGTAGTATAGAACTGTGTCATAACAATATCTGATAATCATGTGATATGAACAATATCTGCACAAATGTGCAACAGTCTGGAAAATTACTTGTTTGGTGGGATGGATTATAATCATAACAAGTGTCAAGTATAATGTCAGATCATTTGGACTATTCCATACAAGAAGCATGGCAGAATGGGACACATTCAAAAACCATCCAAATTATAAATTGGGATATTCTGAAACTAGGATCACCATCTTTTTGTGTATACTTTTATCTAATGTCATGGAATATGCTGATATGATTTATATTGACATGAGGTACATGATACCATCAGTGTCCAATCTGTATTGATTGTGATATCTGGGTCAATGCACATTTAGGCCAAGATTATATTTCAAATGAGCAAGCTGTAAGAAAAAATATGTGATGGGAAAAAGTACTGTGACCAACCAATCCCAGTACATGTATAGGATATCAACAAATAGGAATTAACCAAGTGTTTAAAGAATTGACCAGTAGCCAACAAATCATTTGAAAACTTAAGTGATTTAACACAAAGTTCGTACTGTAACAGAAATACGTTTCAGGGCTTGAAATACTGGGTGCATGTGTAGGATTTACCTTAGTGCACCAAAAATTGGAGCTGTGCACCCATTTTTTTTATCTGGGTGCACCAGTGCACCCAAATATTTTTGTAGGTATTTTTGTACATATCAATTGTATAATAGTAACTGTATGCAGGATATTGTTGGCATCTAAGTGTCAGAAAATAATGAAATTTTTGTTGAAGTTTGTTTAAGATTTTGAAGTTAGCTCCCATTTCAGATTCAAGCTCAGAAGAGGAGCAGTAAGATCTGTAATTATATTTTGTTTTATATTGTGCACCCAAAAAATTTTTTGTGCACCTACTTTTTTAGCTATAGGTTGGGTGCACCAGTGAACCTATCCCCAAAAATGAATTTTGAGCCCTGCCTTTTGATAAATAACCCATCTACAGTAAGGAGCAAGAGTGCAATGCGTCAGCTGTGCATCTTGCACAGCATCATATATCATATGTTGTATAGCATCAATTTTCTCTTGATCTTCCACAACAAAAAATGTAAGAATCCATCCTGTAAAGGAACTCGATAAAGCATCAATCGAAGATGGTCTTGGCTCTATCTTTTCTGAGGGCAACAAAGAAATCACCCAAAAGACGAATTACCCAGTGATATTCAATCAGACTAGGAAATAAGCACAGCACAAAGCAACTAT